ACAAAAAAAAAAAAAAAAAAAAACAACCCTCTTATTATGTCATGGAAAAAGACAAGCTCTAAATTCCTAAGTAAAAATAAGTTTAAGAGCTGACTTTTAAAATTCTTAATTTTTTTATTTTTTAATTTTTTTTAGGTGAGGCAACCTTTGGTTGACCTCACAGATTTCAAGGACCTTGTCAGCTTACAGTCCCTTATTTTTTAATTTTTTATGCCTACAGCACCTGGTCTTCCTAGGTGGTCTCCCATCCAAGTACTAACCAGGCCCGACCCTGCTTAGCTTCTGAGATCAGATGGGATCGGGCTTGTTCAAGGTAGCATGTCTGTAGACTCTTTATGGTTTTTTATTTTAAACACTTTATTCAAATATTCTGAAGTGGGCTTGCTAAATTTTCAGGTCTAAAATAATTAGGGAGGGGACAGTACATTTATGTACTTTTTAAAGCCAGTCCTTTCTCTCGACCAGAATTTCATTTAAAAATCATCATTACATATGGTCAGAGTAATGGAATAGGAGCGTTAAAGTGGATGAGTTTCTAAAAGGAGACTTTGGCCTAAAGTTGAAAGCCATGTTAAGTATGTTAAAAATGTAGCTCATATGTAGAATAAACTTATATTATGATGGCCTGGTCCTCAGGAGTTTGCCCATACTTTTTAATGATGATTGTCACTTCAACATCAACAGTTATTTTCCTAATATGATGTATTTTTTTTGTTTGTTTGTTTTTCTTTTTAACCTAATGCTACCTTTTGGATCTACTCTATAAAACCTAGAGTCTTTGTTCCAGTCTGGAAAATGACTTAGAATATTAGATGTGTAGGGGTTTTAAGTGCATGTTATGTAATTGACATGAATAATATATAATAATATTGGAAAATAGTCAATTTTGGAAGTACCATTACACATTACTTCAATTTTGTGAATAAAAAACCCTAAATAATTGATCGTTTTTTTCTTTACATATTAACTAGCCTTTATTACTTTGACACATTCTGCTCGTAAACACAGGTTACTCAAAAAAATGCACCTGTCATGCAGCATGTAATTTTATTATTTTAATTCATGGATAATAATATGAATTTATTAGGAAGGACATCTGGAAATAATTTTCACTCATCTTTTTTATCACACACACCACATTGAAAGCTGTTTGTTAATCTGACATTTTCTAGCACTGACAGCTTTGCTTCTGTAAAGACTTTTAACCAGCATTTTACATGGATTACAACTGAAGTTAGCTTCTTATATGTGTCTCCAGTTGGAGATTATATTTTTTAATATAGATTTGTTCCTGGCATGGCCAAATGTAATATTTGACCATAAACAACTGTATCCTACAGACAGTAGGTATTGACTTGTATCGACTTTATAACAATTTTATACATCATGCTGGGGGTTTTTTTTTTTTATTTTCCTGATTTAGCCTTATAAGAAAAGTATACATCTTATTTAAAAAACCAAACTATTTAACATTTTTGTTTTTAATGTTGTCTTTGAACTACTTTTAAACATAAGCCAGTTGGTATTTTGGAAGGAAGTTTTAGTCTTTTCATATTTTTCTACCTTGTAGTTTCTAGTTCTCCAGAAGACAGATTTACATTTTATATTACACTTTCTTGCTCAGTCATGGAAGATTAGTATATTGGATGAAATTTTAAAAAATCTTAGCAGAATGGGTTCATAGCTTTATACTCAACTTTTTCTGAGAAGGAAGTTTTCTGCTAGAATAAATGATTACTGGTTTTCCTCAGGACTTTTAAGTGTTTGATAGATAACCATTCCCCGCCCCCCGCAGATTAGGTTGTCAGTGACAAAAACACTTATTTAATGTTTATGTGGAATTGAATCCTTTCCTAGAAAATAGTATATACACATTCACAGTAATGTGGTTTAGATTTGTCACCGAAAGGAAATGCTCATCAGAACTGAAGGACCATCTTGTAACAGTTGCATTGTTAGTGAACTAATGACATGAATTTGCTAAGAATAGGAGTTTACAATGTTGTCTCTGGTTTATTTTGAAGAAACTTGAAAAATTTCTAAGAATATATTTTAGCTTATGCCAGAAAGATTAGAATTTTAAATGTTTTTATCTTAGAGTAGATCTAGTTCTTTTTAAAAATTTTGTGTATGAACATAAAACAGCTATTTTCAAACTCTCACATTTAACTGATTTATGCTGACCGTCTACTTGTTCCAGAGCTAAACATCCAATATTGATTTGTTTTTTTCTTAATGAAAGATTTAATATACAGATCGTAGTCTTTTTCTGAAGTGATTTTGCCTGTTGGTAATCAGAAATTCAAGGATAGCAGAAAATGGGAAAGTAATTCTAGTTGTGTGACCCATACTGTCCTCCCTCGTAAGCCATGAGGAATAACATGAAAAGGAAATGTATAATCTCTTGTAATAAGTCATCTTAAAAAATATGGTTCGTAAAGTTCATAATACTTCTGAGTTTTAAATCTAAAAGTGATATATATTTACATTTTGGGGTATTCAGTTTTCAAGTTATTTAGGTTTCCCCCTGGAAATGTGAAATAATTTTTTCAGTGTAAGTTTTTTTCTTGATTACTCAGAATTTTATTTAACTGCATTATTTTTTTAAGTAAGATCTAAACTATAAAGATACATTTATAGATGGCACTAAAGATTTGCTTTTCAGAGCCTCTTAAGTTGAAGAGACATTTCCAAAATAAACTTGAAAGGCATGGTGAAATAATAAATTTCATGATTATAAAGCTGTTCTTCGCTAAATAAAATTTGAAACTTTAACATATGCTTTATGAATTGCTATTTAGATTTGGATTTGCAGCAAAACGTGGCCATGATCATGGTGTAGGTTTTTAAGTAATGTTTTATTGAAAGTATTCGAGACTTGCTTTAAAGAAATCATAGCTCTAATAGTGGAAATAAAGGGGAATCACTGCTTTCCTTCAGTATTTCAAAGACAAGTTAGTTGCTTTCAAGAAATAGCAGTTCTTACAACTTTGCAACTTGAAACTTAATTTTCTGTTAGCTGGAAGATCTATATCATTGAGACATGGACCCATCTAAAATACCCCCAAAGCTAGAGAAAGCATTTCTGTTTTGCAAACATACCACATGGTTTGAAGGTTTTCTTACTAGGCTTATGACTCCAAAACATTCTGGTTGGTCTGTTTTTTACATACAGCATGATTTTTTTTTTTTTTTTTTGCCTTTTCCCTAAACCAAATGAATTGTTGGGGGAAATAATGACTTATCTGGTAAAGCTAGCACAGGAATTACCAGTTAGGGTAAAGAATGGTGAAACACGAAGAAATCAGGGTTCCTTAATGCACAGCAATATCTTGGTGCACAATAGAAAGGCACGTGAGGAAGAACAGTGCTGCCGTTAAGGAGTAAGGCATTTGGCTTGATGTAAGATACCCTGTAAAGATTGAAACTGTTCTGATCTTTATAGTTCCAACATTAAAAAAGAACCTCTGGTGTATTTAGGGCTGGTTGGCTATATCACCCTATTGCCTTTAACATCTTCCTGTTGGATCACAGGTTTTTAAAAGTGTTTTGACACCAATTATGGTGCCACTATTATCAAAAAGGACGAAGCCTTTAAGTCATTAAAGAATATACCTAAATCCATCTATCTTCTAAACATATAGTGAATTACTAACCTGAAGAAGATAGGAAAATGTTAAACATGATTAAGTGAGCTTTGTAGTTTTCCTAACAATGGATTGAAAGTATGTAAAAAATTTCACTATCTAACTGCTGTTTGTACATTCGATTTGCCATTTTATTCCAAAGTAATTCCAGATTTTCTTTCTAGGTTAGAAAAACAAGCTTTTTAGAGTCGTAAATCTCATGTCTCTGGACTTTTTCATTGGTTAGTGAAGTTATTTTAGATAAAATGCAGTAAAGGGAAAACTTTTATAAGGAGATTGGAAATTTTAAATCATCGTGAATATTAATATTTTCATGTTAAGACAGTGATCTTTATTTGTGAAAAAGGTTTATTTAAAGCACATGATCAGTAGTAAGGAAGTCCATAGTCAAGACTACATAAAAAGATTTTCTAGCCAAATCAATGTGACACCGTGAACCACAATATTTTGAGCTCAAACAATAGTTATATAGTTAAGATGGTTAATAAACAATTTGAGAGACTCCATTATGATAGTTTTTTAGTTGTATTTTTGTTGCTGTTTTTCTTTGTCACTTAAAATGATTCATTGGATAAATGATTTTTTTTTCCAATTTTATGCTTAGGTCTGTGGTAAATGTAACTGATTATCTGCGATCAATCTATCACAAATCTTTCCACTCTTCTTGGTGGAGAAATATTGTTATTCTATACTTTGTTATTCTGCACTTTGTTATTTTATGGAGTATACTGACAAAGTTCAGTTGCCCATTATTTTCATCCTAATGGTTTTTTTCCCCAGTATTTTCTCATAGAGGGAAAATAGTTGACTTATTAAAAGTTCCATTTTCATAGAATATTCTTTTCTTTGAAAACTTGCTCCATGTTGAATTGATAGAATGAGTAAGGATGGAAAACATGCAAAATATCAAAAAGTCAAATATTAAAATTTTAATTTGGTCTTTTGACATTGGTTTAAGAAAATGCATCAAATAAAAGTTTTCGTTTATTTATTTTCCAGGTTTATGGTTGGCTGTGGGAGATGCGATGACTGGTTTCATGGTGATTGTGTTGGATTAAGTCTTTCTCAAGCACAGCAAATGGGAGAGGAGGACAAAGAATACGTGTGTGTGAAATGTTGTGCTGAAGAAGATAAAAAGACTGAAATAGTGGATTCAGATATTTTGGAAAACCAAGCTAAAGTTGAAGGCCTGAGTGAAGATAAAACAATGGAGTATGAAAAGCTTGGATTATCAAAGCACACACCAACAAATGACAAAACCAAATACATAGATGACACAGTGAAGCACAAGGTCAAAATTTTAAAACGGGTGAGCAGCTCAAGAATGCATTCTTTTGTTATTTAAGGAATTTGTATAGACCATGAGAATTTGAAGTTTCTTCTTAGGATTTGTTCTAGTGTATAATATCAAACTTATTTAACTATAAAAATGGATTTTTATTAAAAGTTTTTTGGCAATTTTGGTGAAATCAGGTAGTGACATCTTCAGAACATTGAGATCTTATTTCTTAGCATCTTTTGTGCTATTTCTCTCCCTAATGTGATACTTGGATTTCTGAGGTAGGACGTGTATATGATCTTCTAGTGTTAAGTAAGTGTAAATTGTGCTTGTTGATTAATTTTTTAAAAAAGTTTTCAGATCATAAATATCTACTGGTCTTTAAACCACATTTGGCATTTTTATTTTCAAGTGGAAGAGTTACTTTTTCTCTGAGGGAAAGTAATCTTAATTCTTTTGACCTTTGTCCCAGTGTTTGCTTGGAACCCTTACCTCATAATTTTTCTCTTAAAATGTGGACTCTCTAAAAGTTGTCAATTTTCCTTCATATTTTTAACTACCTTCTAAAAGTATTTTCTAAATAGAAATTTCAGGATATTTAGTCATAGGAGAAGTGCATAAAGGACACAGCACTTTATATGATTAAATTTTTATTTTCAATGTTTACCTTTTTATTACCTTTGTTTTTTCTAATCATTGATTTGTTATTCTTAAGATAGTGCTAGAGAAGAAACACAGTGGCAGCAAATGTGCATGGATAGTTGACTGTGATAATCCAAAAGATAATAATATGAATTGCAGAGTTTGAGGGAACTTGGAAATCTTTTAGTCCAACCATTCAAATTTAAGAGCCATAAGCACGTTTTCTCCCAAATCCCTATTATTTACAAACTCATTTTTTTTCAGATGCTTCTTACATGACAAATCTGGATTAAGTTTCAGTTCGCCAAATCCTTGTGGCATCCACTTTTCCAGTCTGCCAAGACTTTTTGAGAATCAGATAATATCCTTCTAACATGCTGTTGCTTTGTCTGTTGATTTAATTAGCACCAGAGTAATTAATGATGAACTGAAAGCTTCATTGAGAAGTTTATAGCACACTTTTGCAAAACTTCTGTTTGTCAACTATTAATCATCACTTCTTGGATATAATTTCTTGGCCATTTGGAAATATAGCTCATTGTTTTGTCATTTAGCTAAGTTGTCCCTACTGGTCTAAAAAGGCATAAAAACATTAATATTGAGAAAACCCCTATCTAGTCTCTATCCAAAAAATAACCGAGGTTATTTGGATTTTGTAAATGGTTCTGTAAATGCATGTGCTGTCCAAGTGGTTATTGCTTCCTTTTCTTTTTGATGTTAAACTGCTGAATCTTATCTGGACATACCTGATTTTAGTTTATGGAATCGAATCTGCTTTTTAAATATCACTTGTTATCCCTAGATTTTGTGTTGAACCAATTACTGAGTTCCTTTTGTGTGCCTAGGATGGTACCAGACTTTTATACGGGTAGATAACACTGATTTGAAATGTTCTTGCTCTCAAGTAAATCTGGTTGGAGAGGTAGGAATAAATAAATAAGTAAATAATTAGAAGATTCCTAGTCTAGAGAAAATCAGTTTTTGTATATACTCTTCCTTAAAACCTGTGATTATATGTATATAGATACAGTGTTCTCCCTGTCTTTCAAATACTAGTGTGATGTGACAGAATTCTGGTTTCACTAGAAGTCCTTTGTCGATTATGTTAGGACAAGAGTAGCAAGCATCCTTATGGTTTGTTCTATATTATGAGAGTTAAAATTGCCCATATAGGTATACTGAGAAGTTAACTGATACATTTATTATAGGTGATTATAACTTCATTTGTTTTAGAATAAAGTGAAAAATATAGATACTTGTTTCTCCACAACTTCTCTTTTTTCAAAGCCACAGTCAACTAAGAGAACTCTTATTATATCTTATTTGTTTCTAGTATTGTTATTGAGACCATTATCTCAATTTTTTAGTTCTCCTCTATAGGAGAACTAAACTATTATGTATTCTGCAGAAAATAGATGTTTAATAAATGGATTTTGAATGAAAAGGTGAATTTCCTTTTTGCTAATTATTTTTTTGCATCTGTGAAAAACCCTCTAAACAGTTACTGACTACAGAATAGAATATGTTTGATATTACAATAAGTTGTAGTACTAATTAAGTTTAATTTTTTAAATTTGTATACTCTTGAAGTTTACTTTATATTTAAAAATAGTTTAATAGTTTTCATTCTACTGAATTAAGTACTTTTTTCCCCTAGGAATCTGGCGAAGGCAAAAACTCATCAGACTGTAGAGATAGTGAAGTAAAAAAATGGCAGCTAGCTCCTCTTCGAAAGATGGGACAACCAGTTTTACCTCGGAGATCCTCAGAAGAAAAAAGTGAAAAAATACCAAAAGAGTCTATAACTGTTACATGCACAGGGGACAAAGCTTCAAAACCAGGTAGTGAGATTAATAGAAAATATTATATACGATTGTATTTTTATTTTATTTCATATACTATCAATTAGTATATTAAGGGAAATTAAAATTTTTAAACATTTTAATGGCAATAAAAATGGTTTAGGTGATTGACCTTACTTTTAATTAAAAACTGTTGTTCTAGTCTACAGCCGTGCCACCCTCAACAAGCCTGATCTCGTCTGAGACATCTCGGAAGCTAAGCAGGGTTGGGCCTGGTGGGTACTTGGATGGGAGACCACCTAGGAAGATCAGGTGCTGTAGGAGTAAAAAAATAAAAAAATAAGGGATTGTAAGATGACAAGGTCCTTGCAATATGTGAGATCAGCCAAAGGTTGCCTCGCAAAACAAACAAACAAACAAAAATCTATTGCTCTAAATTCTGAGGAAGTACTAATGAACTTAATAAGATAAGGCTCCTGCCCTCGTGGCACTTAAAAACTAATGGGAGAAGACAATAAGTAGACAAATAAGAAATTGGCATGCTGTTTTACAGAATTTAGGCACTGTGAAGAACAAGTAGAGTGATGGGATAAAGAGTCACAGTTGAGAGTGGTGGGAGTTTGTTTTAGAATAGAGGAGGTAACTTGCGAAGTGGGATTTGAAGGGATTGTGAAATTGTTTGGAGGAAGGACTAGGTAGGTGGCACAGCCAAAAGGCTTTGAGGTAGAAATAAACTTGACATTTGAGGAGCAAGAAAACTACTGTGAAGTGAGTGGAAGGTATTACATGAGAGATCAAATGGTGGTAGAAGATAAATTTAGAGAAAATTATATTGCAACTTTGAGGCCGAGAGTTTATATTCTGAATATAATGGGAAAGCTTTAGAAGATTTTATAAAGGAAATGATGGATTGCTCTGTTTTTTTTTTTTTCTGTGGGGATTGAACTTTAGGGTGTTCGGAGAGAGGGAGGGTAGATCATTTAGGAGTCTAAGCAGTATCTAAGAAAAAGAATGGTAGCTTGGAACAGAGATACAGTGGAGGTAGTGAAAAGTAGTCAGATTCAGATGTATTTTATGCTAGAGTTGGCACAACTTGGTGATGAATTAGATGTAGATAGTTGAAGGAAAGAATCTTAGTAGATTAGATAAGTGTTGGTGTTGTTTGCCGAGATTAGAAAGATAGAAGTAAATTTGGGGAGGGATACTGAAAAATGATGTTTTGGGCATTTTAACTTTGAGATGCCTGTTAGACATCCAGGTGGAGATTTTTGAATAAACTTTTGGCTGATGAGTCAAGCTTAGAGAAGATTTTGGGGGGTGGTATTTAAATTTGGGATTTATTAGTACAAAGTTATTTAAAATCATGAACTTAGCAGCTACAGAGAGAGTTTAATAATGAAGAGTCAGAAGCAGAGCCCTTAAGGTGCATCAGCGTTTAGATATTAGGAAGAAGATAGAGATGGCCTGTGTGAGGTAAGAGACCATAGTAGTGGCTTGGAAACCAGATGAAGTTTTAAGAAGCAGGGAATGATCCGCTGTTTCACAAAATGCTGTCTCGTCTGGACATCTAATAAGATGAACACAGATTACTAAATATGTGATTTAGGGAAATAGAGATAATTAGTGACCTTGGTTAGAATGATTTTGGTAGAGCAGTGGGGACAAAGGCCAATTTTATTGGCTTATGGAAGAATGGAAAGTGAGAAACAACATACTGATTACAGATGACTTTTTCAAGGAATTTTGCTGTTAAAGGGAACAAAAATGATATGGTAGCTAGAGATGGATGTGGGATCAAGGACTTTTTAAAAGGAATTAGAGCATGTTTGTAAGACTAATGGGAATGACCCAGTGGAGAGAGAAAATCTGGTGATATAGGAAAGATTACATGATAGTTGAGATTCAAAATCCCTGAAGGAGACAAGAGGAGTAGGATCCACGTAGAGGGGTTTGGTCTTAGAAAAGGAAGATTGTATGTGGTAGGAGGAGGACAGATGCACGTAGGGTTAGTAGATTTGATTATGGGATGATGTGATAACTGACATTTTCTGTTTTCTTAGAGTAAAAATATGAAGTGAGAAAATCAAATGAGATTGAAGTTGGAGAAGGCGGTATTGTTGGTTTGAGAGGAGAAAATGTATAAAAATAGAGGTTTTGGAAAGTGAGAGAGTAAATTTACTATAAAAATTTAATAGGATTAGGGCAGCAGATTGAGTTATCTACTTGAGATTTGTGGTTATAAATTTAAAATGAGATCTGTCAGCACAGTGCTTGTTTTTCTTCAGTTACCTTCAGCTGTTTGTAGGCCATTTGGAGGAAGGATAAAAGTTGGCTTTCACCAGGGTTGTGGTTTTACCATTGCAGATAATTTAAAAGAGAGAGAATAAGTATGCAAGGTAATTGTGTTGGACTATCTAATCAGAATTGCGTTATGTGGGAAAGTGAGGGCATGAATGGTAAAAATGATAGATTTAAGAATTGTTTGAAAGATTCTAGAATAAATAAACTGGTATGATAGGAGGTCAGAGTAGAGGAATGTTTCACATTAGATTTTGGAGATGTGCATGAAGTAGTGATTGAATGAAAAATCATTTGAAAGCTTAACATTCAATTTACCAGTGTCAAGCACAGTTGTTTTAAAACCAGAGGAGATTCATCATCATTTTTGTGGTACTAGTAAGATCATTAAATTGTCTGTTCATTAAATAAATTCAGATCAAATTACCTAGTTTTTAAAAAATTACTAATGTATATATGTGAAACGTAACTAGCTCTGAAAACCATTGTCTAAAATGGAAAAAGTATATATATATTTTATAGCTTTAGGGCCACTTTTTAATCACTCAATTTCTAATTAAAATTTATTTAACTTAGAATTTTTTTTTAATTGAGGTATAATTGACATATAACATTATATTAGTATCAGGTCTACAACATAATGACTTGATGTTTATATATATTGTGAAATGATCACCACAGTAAGTCTAGTTAACATCCATCACTGTATAGATTTAGAATGTCAGGAATATTTCAATATGGAATATTTAGAAATAGTGGTGTTTAATCAATTTTGTTTATAAACTTACATTATGCATTAAGAAAAATATGTTCTTAGGAACAATTTAATGTGTTTTGATGTTTATTTAAATCAGGTGCTCATGAGAAGCAAGAGATAAAAAAGAAGAAAATTGAAAAAGGAGTATCTAATGTGCATCTTCCTGCTGCTTCTGCTTGTAAGCCCTCTGCAGACCAGATCAGACAAAGTGTCAGACATTCTCTCAAAGATATTCTTATGAAAAGGTAACACACATTCTTGTTGTAAAAAATCGAATAATAAATTTCATGTAGTTGAAAAATAATTGAATTATTCTACTTTTAAGACTTACAGACTCAAATCTGAAGGTACCAGAGGAAAAGGCAGCAAAAGTTGCCACAAAAATTGAAAAAGAGCTTTTCTCTTTTTTTCGGGACACAGATGCTAAATATAAGAACAAATATAGAAGTTTGATGTTCAATCTGAAAGATCCTAAAAACAATGTAAGTATGTTTTGTTCATGTTCATAGAAATTAATGCTTCCAACTTTCCTGAATATATAGGGATTTAAGATTGTAATACAGTAGATCTATAATTTATTTCTTGGAGTAAGATCATGTAATTTTAATAAAGTCTTTTGTTACCAAACTGAGTTATGAATTCTGCATGATAGTGACTAGGGTTATATAATGAATCTATTAAAATGTAAAATACTATCTTTAATTTATGTGAATTTTCTTGTCCCTAGTTTAATCCAGTTTATTAAAAAAAAAAAAAAAAAAAACATGTATTTTTCAAAAGCTGTTAAACTAAAATTGATAACACTGTAGTAATACTTCTGATTTAAATCTGAAAATAAAGCTATACTCTTTAAGAAAGTAAATTACATAAATTAGCAATGGAGTAAACATTAATTGAACCCTTAATCTTTTCCTAGGATTTCTTATTTGGGACTTGGAATCTAAAAGCTGTGTGTATAGATGCAAACTACTTGCATATTTGCTTAACTTCTACAAAGTTTTCACATAAGCGATAGCAGTTTGTCAATTTGTATAATGATATTTGCTATAATATGTGATTATAGGTATTTTCTTGAAGTATACTAACAGCTACTTAAGAGAATTCTACGTTGTACAATATGCCACTATGGTCCAGGGGTTAGGTTACTTCTTGAATTATATTATCTGGACACTTTATTTCAATTAGTAAATATTTCCTTTAGATTTCTTTCTTGTAGTTGGTTCTTTGCTTTGGAGTTCCCTCCAAGCCTGTTAGATTGTAAACATATGAACTTTTTAAAATATAAAAGACATCGTGTTTAGTAAAGTTCTTTTATGCAGTACCTTGCTATACTATTGGTTGGCTATTATGACAGAGTTTGTCCTTGGGAAGACTTCATACAACTTTTGCATAGGCATTGTAATGATCCCATTGTACATGCTTCTTTATGTTTTGATTTTTATATGAAGTGTATATTTTTCTGCCTTATATGATAGGTTCCTAGGCTACAAGGCTGTCATTTTATTCTCTTGGTAGTAGGCAATATGTAAATCATAAAACATCTAAATCAAATTTCTAAATTGCATCTTTATTTATTACAGGTTTCTGTACAGTAACTTCTCTTTCTTTTTAAAATGATTTTTTTCCCTTTTCCTTCCCATTTTTAAATACTTCCAGATATTGTTTAAAAAAGTACTGAAAGGAGAAGTAACTCCTGATCATCTTATAAGGATGAGTCCAGAAGAACTAGCTTCTAAAGAGTTAGCTGCTTGGAGACGAAGAGAAAACAGACATGTAAGATTGGCTATGAATATGTGTTTGACTATATCAAAGCCTATATTTTTTTCAGCCTTCTAGTTACTTATCCTTCATTAACCTGGTTCTTAAATTCTGTCTTTCGTTTTTCTTGATCTCTGCTGCTTTTTTGTCATTTTCTCAAATTATCAGGTTATATAAATACTTTGTGGTTTGTTAAATAATTTGTAAATCAGAAGGATGAGAAAATCACATCTTTCCTTAATCACATCTATATTTTTCAGGAGCCCAATTTGAAGGTATTATGAATATCGATAATTTGTAGAGCCAGATTAAGTCAGAATGAAAATTTTGCAGCTTTATAATCTCTTATTAATCAGAATTTCAATGCCAAAAACTCTGAAAAATAAGTTTTTTTCTATAATAAATTTATTGATGAAACCTGACCTGAATTGTCATGTCTGAATGTTTATATTCACAGAAATAGTGTGCATTTAATTAAGTAGCACTGTTCCAGACCTAACTGGAGTGTTTTATAACATATATAATGTGTGTATCAGATCGCATTTTTAAAACTAAACAATTTTGAAAGTCACCGATGCCAGGAGTTTTCATTTGGGAGTTGTAACTTGGAATACCTTTATAGATTAAGTGAATCTGTGACTTAGTGTTATTGTGACAGTGAGATTAGCCACATCATCCACTGTTTTTATTACAGTGGCCTCAGAATATTAGGCTTTTATTGTAGAAAACACTGGTTAGAGTTTATATTAACGATGTGATTTACCTGATTTTTTCCTCCATAATATTTACTTGCATCTTAGGTATTAAGCCGCAAATCTAGTTTAAAGCATCTGAGGCATTGATTTGATGTATTATACCACTTCACATATTTCTTCAATTTCACCCTGAGTGATTTCTCCTGTTCTTTGATTTTGAAAATAGTATCATGTCCTCTTTTATTTTTCCCCTCAGTATCCCTCTCTTCTGCTTTGAAACTGGCTGCGGGTATCATCTGCATTGGAGACTAGCTTGTTTTTTCTTTAGGCCATTTCTTTCTTTAAAGGATGGTTTCCACTTAAGATGAGATAAATGACCAGACCCATCTTTACCTTCCTTAACCCATTCCACTCTCAGCTACCTTTTACTAGTTCTTGCTACACTTGCTTAATTACTATGTTCTGTTGCTGAGGTTGTTCAATTGTGAATTATCATTGCGATAAAGTATACTCAGTCAGGAGACAGCTGATAGTGGACTACCTGATAATTTTTGATGTTTTGAGTAAGTAAACTTTATGCGGTTGTCTGGAATGTTAGAACATCAAGTTAGGAATCTAAATGGAAGTCAGTTTTCAGGTCCCTGTGACAGCTGCTAAAATACTAAATTGGAAAGCAGATTTTAAATATCATGTTTCATCATTTAGCAAATTATATCATACTTCAGTTGCCTCTAGTTAATGTACATGTGAACTTCTCAAAGCTGAAACATGGGGTCCAATTCTTATAACCCCAGCACTCCAAATCATCTCTGGTATATGTAAGTACTCAGTATAGTTGTTTGAGAGACCACCTAAAGATTAAAAATCATCTATGATGATGCTTTCTATTTTTAGATAAGCTCTTATCATTATGTAAAACTGTACATTTGGCAATATATTTTTTAATTGTGAAATATTCCTTTAAAATATTTCCTATTAGACCATAGAGATGATTGAGAAAGAGCAGAGAGAAGTCGAAAGACGGCCAATCACAAAAATAACTCATAAAGGTGAAATAGAAATTGAAAGTGATGCTCCAATGAAAGAACAGGAAGCTGCCATGGAGATTCAGGTAAAGATAATAAAAATGTCATGTTTTATAGTGCTTAGTGCATGAAGATTCAGAAAAGGTTTATTTGCCTAATGTTCTTAAAGTAGAAAGGAGAATTTTAAAAAATGTATATATTTTAAAGTAGCCTATTTTATTTGTTTAATGTTTTTTTGAGAGTGTTTAAAGTATTATTTCTCTATCTAGTATGCAGACTATGTGCTCCACAGGCATCTGTTAAGCACTTGTTGAAATGTAGATTCCTGGGGTCTCTATGACTTAGCGAATTTCTTAGTAGGCCTTGAAATCTGTAGGTGCTTTGTAGGTGGACTGTAGTTTGAGAGTTGGTGCAGCTTCTTATTTTCAAATATCAGTGAGAAAATAATATGAAATCTTGTTAGATGCCATGAAGAATGAAGATTAAGTTTTGCTTTATTTTAAGTCAATTATTACCTACATTTATTTTTTAAAGAAATGGTGAAAAACAACCTAAGAATGGAACAGTTTCATTTTGGGAAAATATCAGTATGAAATATAACTTGATTTTAATAATTGAGGCCAAATTTTATCTGCTCAAACTAATTTTTACTCTCACTTTTGTTAGGAACCTACAGCTAATAAGTCATTGGAGAAGATAGAAGGATCTGAGAAACAAAAAGAAGAGATTGACTCCATGTCCAAAGATACTACTAGTCAGCACAGACAGCATCTTTTTGATCTTAACTGCAAAATTTGCATAGGTAAATGGAAATTTTTTTCTTCCTAAAATGTTGCTTTCATTTGGAGAGGGGGCTACTTGTATTCATAATTTAAGTAGGTTTTTGTTTTCCCAGTATTGATAGTGAAGCAACCACCCACTCCCTTTGATGACTAGCACATTTTTTGTGTGAATGTTCTTCAGGATTGGTGTACAGTTTGATACTATGGTGTATTTCCTATCTAGAATTAATTGTGTTTTATAAGATCTGAACTTACCAACTCAGAGTCAGATGACTAAAATTTAATCATTAGATAGACATCAGAAATTGTAGGCAGTGGTGATGGTACTGTCATTTACTAAGTGAAGGGGTGAAATAACATATTATATTATTATTATATATAACGAAACAATCAAATTACCTTTTTTCTAGTATTCTTATCCTCAGTCATTCATTCACTAAATGTTTATAAAGTTCTTATTCCTTGCCCCATGTACTTTTCTGGTGCAGGGAATATAGTGGTGAAAAAAGTCAGATGTTATCCAGGCTTTAAGAGAAACTATATGGTTAATGAGAAAGAAAGGCAGGTGATGATTTTAGTTACAAAAGTATAGTTGTTATAAATGTCTTTGGGTAGCAGGAAGACCTATCCTAGACTGAGGGGGTGGGGTGGGGGTGTTAGGGAAGGTTTGGCTGAGGAATTGACATTTAAGCTGAGATTTGAAGGTTGAATAGTGTGCCTGCAAAGAGAGAGACTAGTCTAGATACTGGGAATGGCATGTGTTTGAACTGAATTCAGGGAGGAAAGACGCACATGCTTTGTTTGAAGAGGTATTTAGAAATCAGATTTCATAGTATCTTATAGCTATTGCCTTTTAGACTTCAGGTTGTAACTTAATACTACTAGTAGTGAAATCTATTTAGTGACTAGCTAAGTTTGTTTATTTCAAGAACAAACAAAAACAGAATAGTAAATATGGTGAACTGTACTTAGAAAGATAAGTACGGTTTTTTGAAACTTTAGTTCCAGTTATTCATAACAGAAAGTTCTCACATACATGCATATATATACACATGTATACATAAGTGTATATGCAGATGCACACACACTCTTCTAAGTAATACAAGTAATGGATCATGATATATTACCTTTGAGATCATGTTCAAAAATGCTAAAAAGCTACTTTCGTAGGCCACATTAAGGATTTTGGTCTTTTATCTAAAAGCAATGGATAGTGAGTGACTAAAGCATTTTTAGCAGGAGAACATGATAACATTGGAATTTTATGAGGATATCTCTGACTTTGAGTAGAGATTACAGTGGAAGAAGCCAGTAGAGAAAAGAGGGAGGCTGGCTAAGAGGAAGCTTTTACACTAGTCCAAGTGGGAGATGATGATATTTTAATTGTGGTAGCATTGGAGATGGAAATCAGTAGGAGCTTTGAGAAAATCCAGTTAGATAATATTGACAGATGTTGGAGATTGACTAGATTAGGGCCTAAGAAATGGGGACGTGTTTAGGAAGTTTAAATTTATATTCAGTTTATTGGTAAAGATAGAGGATCAAGAGTTTTTAAGACTCTAGAGATGTGGCTTTCACTTTTAATTTTTTTCTTGTAGTATGCTGAAAGAATGATACATACCTTGTTTAGTAACATGAAAAATTCTTTAGGTTAGTTGATAGGCTGCTCTCTATCATTGTATGAGAGACTAGATGAAATGTATTATAAGTAATTTTTCTGTAATAAAAATAATTATATCTTCTCAAAATTAAGTATATTCACACATTTTGCATTCTGTACAATGGCAAAGACTAAAAGGGCAGAGTGTTTTTAGACATTGTTAACTCTAAAGAAACCCATCCATGGAGTAATAGTATTTTTAAGTATACCCATTTAGTTGTTTTATATGGGAAAAATCTTAATAAAAAATACTCATAGTTATTTCTATTAATTTTAATAATCTCCATGGGAATATTTCAGTAAATTTAATAGCGCACAAAAACATTGGTTAAATATTCCTAGACCTGACCTGTTTTCAGAATGTTTGAGCGATTTTTATCCTTCTTGTTGCTGTAGACGAAAGCCAGTGTCATTTTCTAAACTTTACTAATATTTTTCAAAATTAGTAACTAAGTAGCGCTGCACTATGCATGCATATATGTCATCAACTGCTGCTGTATGTAACACAAAATAGGATACAGATTTGTTTTATTCAGTTCTTCAAGTTATTTATCAACACTGTTGGAATTTGGTGTAATTTAGTTAAAAAAATTTCTAGGGAGTCAAGAAACCTATTTTAGGTTCTGGTTATAATGTTTCCATTTCAGCTTGTCTGAGTTGCTTAGCATCCTCTTTTCCTAATTTTTCACATCAATGAAAGGTGTAATGTAACTCAGAAATGATGATGGTTAAAAATTACCTCAGGAAGTGTATGGTTATACGACAATTCAATGAGGGAAATGGAATAACTTTAGAAATGAAGGTAAACTAAGTTATAGAAATTTCAGTTCACAAAAATAGTTAATTTTTAAATTTTTAACCACCCCCCCCCACCGCCCCCACGCACACACACACTTCTACCCCTGACCTACAGATACTGCCCTCTCCCCTTAAAAACTGGATCTCTAAAGGCGGGGTGTCTCCTCCCGTGCGCTCACGGCGCACACCCAGGGCCTGGCATGCCCAAGGGTATGGGCCATGGCTCTGCTGGGGCTCAAACCCAGGACCTTCTGCATGTAAAGCAGACGTGTTAACCACTACTTTATGGAACCACCCTCAAAAATAGTCTATTTTGGTGTCTTCTGGCTTTAGGTCGAATGGCACCACCTGTAGATGATCTTTCTCCAAAAAAAGTGAAAGTTGTTGTTGGAGTATCTCGAAAACATTCAGACAATGAGGCAGAAAGTATAGCAGATGCATTGTCTTCAACCTCAAATATTTTGGCTTCTGAATTCTTTGAGGAGGAGAAACAAGAATCTCCGAAGTCAACATTCTCTCCTGCTCCACGGTAATTTTCTCTTAGTCATAATTTCTCCAGGAATCACTACAGATATTTGCCAGCTTATACTTGGAGGTCTTCAAAAATGAAAAGCGATGTGTTCCTTAGGAACCTTTCTTTTGACAAAGTAATTGTACCTTCTTATACTCTAAACTAATTGAGATAAAAGAACAAGACTGTGAAAGTTAGTGTAGAGATTTGAATGTGTGGGGACTTGACTTTAAGACTCCCTGAATTTATGTTAGTCTTAGGAGGCAAGAGAAAGGCCATTGAAGAAAAATTATTTGCACTTCTGGACATTAGTTCACCTAAGCCAACCAAGAAGGATGACTTCGTAAAATATGACTGTACAGATATGAGTATAATTTTATAAAGTGAAACTGTAAACTCTTGAATCAGTAGCCTTTATTTAGCTTTCTCGATGTGCTAAAATAGAAATAATTGGTGACTAAGTAGACAGTGCATTTATTTATGATTATATCTTTAGGCTGAAACCTTTTTAATGTCATTTTTTAGTCCAGAGATGCCTGGAACTGTTGAAGTTGAGTCTACATTCCTGGCTCGATTGAACTTCATCTGGAAAGGTTTTATCAACATGCCTTCTGTGGCAAAATTTGTTACCAAAGCCTACCCAGTGTCTGGTTCCCCTGAATACTTGACAGAGGTACTGTTAACTTTTCTGCCCTTGTGTCTAGATCGACATGTGTGTTTCTGAAAGCAGTAGACAAGGCAACAACATAATAAAATAATAAAAATATTAAATAATAAAAATATTTTATTTTCATTCATAATAAAAGTATTTATTGACAATGATCCTTAAACCAGTCAATTAATGGAATTATGAGTTCCCAAATGGAGTTTTAGAACTGTGCTCTGAAAGTGTTAAATCCACTTGTCCTACTCTTTCCAAGATGTACTTATTATTTCACTATATCAGAGAATTAAAATTAATGAGTCTGCATGGATATCTAAGTTTTTCTTTAAATACATACTATTGCCTTCAAGAAGATTTTTCATTATTAACAGGCCTTCTAATTTCCCTACTACTTATGCTTCCCCAGGTTCATGATTATATTTCTTCCCTGCCTATTTCTGTGAACAAAATCTAGACTGTAGTTGAAACTTCACAGCTAGTTGACAGTCGCATGAGACCAATGACCATAGTTGCTGCACTGGTACCCTTGGTTGGTTTTATATCTGAGGGAATGGGAAGGAACTAATTGTGCAATATTTATGGAAAATAAGCAGCTATAGTATTAATAGTATTATGATAAATAAGTATGACATTACATTATTTGAACTATTTTTGAGAAAGTTTGTATTTTTGTGTTTATACAGAAGAAAAATAAGTCCGTACTCAATGTACTGTATTTTTGTTGAGATATTTTGCTATTAATTATGTCCATATCTATAACATTAACTTTTTCCATTCTCAGTCCATAAAGGCAAAAATTAAATTTTTTTTTTAATATTTCAGAAAGCCTAAATCATATATATGATTTTTTTTTTAAGATTACCATAAGAATTCATTTGAATTAGGCTGAAATTAGTTTAACTCAGTGTAATGTTGCTTATCTAATGTTCATCGATTTGTTTAGCAGTTGTGTTTTTGATTAATAAACAACTTAATTATTACTTACAGTTTTTCTTGGCAAATAATTTTTTAGAAATGTCAGTTTTATAAATGGATGATACTCTTCTTTTTGAACAAATCTGTTTAGAAATTCACTCTTTCATCAGTCCATGGTGAAGATAACTCTTTTTTAAAATGAAGAATTAAGTCCTGAACTTTGCAACCCTTTTGATTTTAAACATAATTATTATTCCCCTTTCTGAGTCAATTTCTATGTGATCGTTTTCCAGAACTCCACTTCCACTTTCTATGTATTTTAGTTTGCTTGAGACAACCCCAAATAAAATATTTAAAGCAATTAATAATTTAAATAAACTTAACTGAATTTAATATCAATTAATTATATTTTTTGTAATTTTTCTAAGTCTTCATGAAAAAATGGAAGTATACTGATTAAAGTTTGAAATATTCCTAATGGCACAGTTCTTAATTGATTTCATATGTAATCATCTGTTTTCAGGAAAATTGTGTCTGTTAAAAAAAAAATGAAACTTATGTTATTACAATGTTTTCCTTTTCTGTGCAAAAATATACCCTGTTATCAAACTTAACTTCTGAAATCAGCTGTTAATGATTAAGGAATATCCCTGCCCACTAACACCGGAACAAAAAAAAAGGTGGGTGGTGGGAGGGGAAAGACAATCTTCCCTGATATTCTTGAAGCTGTTGTATTCTTGCTGGATTGTCAGTGTGGTATGCTTGCCACTACTTTTCTTTCCTGTGCCTGCCTTTCTTGCTGAGAACTGACATGACCTCAGATTGTTTCTTTATTTTGGGCTTTCATCTCAGTCATTTGGAATTGACATTTGAGGTAAAGCCTAATTACTGTCTCTCTGCATTCTTATGTTTTCTCATACATTTCATAATCTTTTTATTTACTTATTTTTTATTACCATTTTAAATTAGTCATAGAGCTAAATTTGTATGAATTATGAATATTATAATAAATGTATTCTGTATACATTGACCACCATTTTTTACCACAGGATCTACCAGATAGTATTCAAGTAGGTGGCAGGATATCACCTCAGACAGTTTGGGATTATGTGGAAAAAATTAAAGCATCAGGAACGAAGGTAAGGAAAACTTTTTTCATTATACAAGGCTGAGAGAATATTTGAAAAGTAAACCATTAAGAGTTCTTATGCAAAGTCTCCTGGGAGGGAGCCAGTACAAATTCTAAATCTAAATAATATGCCTAACAAAACTGAGCTAAAGCCATTTGCTAAGGCTCAAAACAGCCCAGCATTTCTGGGTCCCCCTCCACTTTCTGGTGTGCTTTCTCAGTGACTTCAGTCAGTGTTTTGGAAGAAATGTTTTAGAGTAAATATTGAGATTCATCCTGGAATTTTGCCTTGCTTTGATTATACACATTTGTTTTAGTTAGGGCATAGGCTAAGCCACTGCAACAAAGAAGTCCTAAAATATAATGTCTCAAAAAATATGGTTTGTTTTTTTGTTAGGTAGGTCATTCATTCAGGGTGGTTCGGTGGCTCTGGTTCTACAAGATCATTCAGGGACCAGCCTTCTTCGGTCTTGTTATTTTGCTAGTTCTAAGTGTCTTTGCCAGTCAGACATGGTCAAAGCTAACTTAACACCAAAAGGGAAAATATAAAGAATGTCTGTACAATTGTTTTTAAAGCAAGACCTAGAAATTGCAGTTATCATTTCACTTCTTCTAACTTCCATTGGTAAGAGTTTAGTCTCATAGCCTTACATAGCCTCTAAGAAGGCTGGGAAGTATAATCTCAGGAAATGTAATCTATTGGATGGCCATGTGCCCAGCTAAAAGTTAAGGGCTTCTCTTTGTAATAGGAGGAAAGAAGGAGAGTAGCTACTGGGAGATAATTAATAGCCTCTATCACAATAAATTTCTCTCTCTCTCTACTTTCTGTCATTTCTTAACTAATAGAACACTACTACACAGGAAAAATTAATCGTTAGAAGAAATCGTTTTCCCCTCCAAGGATGATAATACCTAGCATATTAGAGACATTTAAAAAATAAATCTTGAATGAGAAAACATTAATTTTTTATCTCTTTAAGATTATTAGAAGTCACTAGTAAGATTAGAAGTAATCCAAAATACATAATCTTAAACTGAAAAGAATATTTTTTTCCAAAATAGATTTTAGAATTTAAACTGATAGTGTTAGAATACATATAAACTTTGAAGCACTATACAAAATTTACTGTATTTATTTTCTGTCACTTTCTCATGATAGCAAAAGTCATGGGGAAGTATTAGAAGTTTTACTCTTGGATATTTTGGGAATCAGTCTTGATCTATCCATGTATTACTGCTCAACACTTTATTCCTCCATGTTGAACTGACTGAAACATTATAATAGTTGTTACCTCTAAAATAGGACAGTTAAGATGACAGATTTTTTTATAAGAGGTAGAGCCGTAGTTCAACTCATTCACGTGTTTCCTGTAGGATCTTGCATCAGTTTAAACTTTGCAACAGATGCTGGCTCTCCATATTTTGACTATGTACCTTCATGAAAAAGCATTTATTTTTTTTTTACATTACCAAATTGATATCAAATTGGGACTCTCTCTGTTATCTGAAACAAAGCCAAGAACCTAAAGGCAAGCAGATTAGTTCCTGAGTAAACCAAATGATTTTACAAAATATGTGGCCTATGTGTTTTTGAGGTCTTTTCACCCAGCCCGTTTATTCCTAAAATCAATTCTTATAGATTGATTTATTGGTGGATGTGTTTGTTTGTGTATATGTATACATTGTAGGGTGGTAATGGTAGAAGCTATTAATTTGCAGTACACTGAGAACACAGGCAGCCCTCTGTGGAGATAATAACATTAGAAATAAGGATATAATATAGATAGATATCAAAAGACTTTTGAGTGTAAATATCTTCTCTGCCACTGAGAAGTGTGTCACCTGGAACACATTAATTACCTTGAGACTCAATTTCTTATGGGATACTTTCAGATAAATCCATCAGTAGGTGAGCAAAGATCTTTTCCTAAGAGTTGTTTACTTTTAGTATTCTTATCTACATTTAAGTTGGTAAATCTTGTTATTTTGTAACCATCATTATAAAATTCAGTAGATTATTACTAGTTGAGAAATGATGTTCAAAACCGAATTGTTGTTTAGGTTATTATTTTAAACAACCATTTATTTTCTTGAATAGGAAATTTGTGTGGTTCGCTTCACACCTGTAACTGAAGAAGATCAAATTTCTTATACTTTGCTGTTTGCATACTTCAGTAGTAGAAAGCGCTATGGAGTAGCTGCTAACAACATGAAGCAGGTTAAAGATATGTACCTTATTCCTTTGGGTGCCACAGATAAAATTCCACACCCTCTTGTGCCTTTTGATGGACCCGGTAGGTATATATTTTAATAACAGTGTGTGAATAAAAGTGGGAGGTGGGACCAGAGTCAAAAAATTGACTCTGCTTTCTTTCTTGGGATCCAGGCCTCTGGAGCTGACTTGACAGGGAAAGGCACCCATTTAATAGCCTATAATAAATTAGATGCAGAAACTTACCCTTGGTTATAATAACTGAAAGTAACTTAATTGATGTTTTTGATTTTATACAGGGCTTGAACTACACAGACCTAATCTGTTGTTGGGCTTAATTATTCGTCAAAAACTGAAGCGACAACACAGCGCTAGTGCTAGTGCTAGTGCTAGTACTAGTGCCAGTGCTAGTGCTAGTGCTAGTGCTAGTACTAGTCATACCGCTGAGACTCCTGAAAGTGTACCAATGGCATTGCCACCTGATAAAAAAACTAAAATAGACGTTTCCACAGAGGAAGCAGCAGAGGAAGAAAATGACTTTTTTAATTCTTTTACAACTGTGTTACACAAGCAGAGAAATAAGCCTCAGCAGACTCTTCAGGAAGACCTTCCAACAGTACTGGAACCTTTAGTGGAAGTCGCCAAACAGGAGCCACCAAAACCTTTAAGATTCCTTCCTGGGGTATTGATTGGTTGGGAAAATCAGCCTTCTACTCTGGAATTAGCAAATAAACCTCTTCCTGTGGATGATATACTTCAGAGCCTTTTGGGTACTACTGGTCAAGTATATGAACAGTCTCAGTCAATGGTAGAACAAAATACCCTTAAAGAAATTCCATTTATAAATGAGCAAGCCAATTCCAAAGCTGAGATAATAGATAAAGTGGAAGTAACTGATGGTGAAGCCAAGGAGGTAAAGGTTAAGATAGATAATCTTTCAGAATCTACAGGTAACTCGGTACTAGTAGAAGAAACTTCAGTAACGGGGTCCTCTTCCATTTCTCCGGGACCTTTGCCGAGTCTTAGTCTCAGAGGTAAACCACCAGATGTTTCTACAGAAGTATTCTTAACAAATTTATCAATTCAGTCAAAACAAGAGGAAACTGTGGAGAATAAAGAGAGAACATTAAAAAGACAGCTGCCGCAAGATCAAGAGAATAATTTGCAAGATAATCAGACTTCAAATACTAGTTCTCCGTGCAGGTCTAATGTAGGAAAAGGAAATGCAGATGGCAGTGTGAGTTGTAATGAAAATCTGGTTGCTAGTTCGGCAAGGTCCCCACAGTTTATCAACTTGAAAAGGGATCCTAGGCAAGCAGCAGGACGAAGTCAGCAGATAACTGCTCCAGAAAGCAAAGATGGAGATAGTTGCCGGAATGGAGAAAAACTCAGCCTGCCTGGTCTGTCACACAAGGAGCACCTAACAGAACAAATCAATGTAGAGGAAAAGTTGCCTTCTGCAGAGAAAAACTCATGTGTTCAGCAGAGTGATAATTCAGGGGTTGCACAAAACTCAGCATCAGTAGAAAACATACATACTTCTCAAACAGAACAAGTAAAACCCTTACAGGAGGATATTTTAATGCAAAATATTGAAACTGTGCACCCATTTCGAAGAGGAGCAGCAGCAACATCATCTCATTTTGAAGTCGGAAACACAAATCAATCAGAATTTTCTTCTAAAAGCATCAGCTTTACTTCCAGAAGCACCAGCCCCAGAACGAGTACAAACTTTACACCAATGAGGCCACAGCAATCCAACCTTCAGCATCTCAAGTCTAACCCCCCTGGATTTCCATTTCCAGGGCCTCCTAATTTCCCCTCACAAAGCATGTTTGGATTTCCACCACATTTGCCACCTCCATTACTTCCCCCTCCAGGCTTTGGCTTTCCTCAAAATCCCATGGTTCCCTGGCCACCTGTTGTTCATTTGACAGGCCAACCTCAACGTATGATGGGTCCCCTTTCACAAACAGCAAGGTATATAGGCCCACAAAATTTTTACCAGGTTAAAGACATTCGAAGACCAGAAAGGCGTCATAGTGACCCTTGGGGTAGGCAAGACCAACAGCAACTGGATAGGCAGTTTAATAGGGGCAAAGGAGATCGCCAGAGATTTTATAGCGATTCGCACCACTTGAAAAGAGAGCGACATGAAAAGGAATGGGAGCAAGAATCTGAAAGGCATAGACGCAGAGACAGAACCCAAGAGAAGGACAGAGACAGAAAAAGCAGGGAGGAAGGGCACAAAGATAAAGAGAGGGCACGGTTATCACACAGTGATCGAGGAGCAGATGGAAAAGCAAGCAGAGATAGTAGGAATGTAGACAAGAAACCAGATAAACCTAAAAGTGAAGACCATGAAAAAGACAAAGAGCGAGAGAAAAGTAAACATAGAGAAGGAGAAAAGGACAGAGACAGGTACCACAAAGATAGGGACCACACTGACAGAGCTAAAAGCAAAAGGTAAAATTTGCAGGCTGCTTCAGGATTACATTTAAGTAACTGTTAAATATTGTATCTTAAAAACTTTGATTGCCTGCTAAGATTGTGCCATCTTTTAAATTTTTAATATTGGTGGTTTGCAGAACAATAAATCCTGTGTGTTGGTGCAGAGTGCTCTGTACCAGTGCTCATCATCCCTTCATACCAACTGTCTCTAGCTATAGGAATTTGATATTTTTAAAAGTTTTACATTGCTGTATATTCAAAGATTTGTTTTATTAATATGCAATAAAGGCTTAGAAATTTTAGTTTTATTCCTTAATTGGTAAATATGGTTAACTATGGAATATATTTACTGCCTCTAGTGAATGTTCTTTATATGACTAATTTGAGAGTAATGTGTGCTCTGTAAGTTTGTTTTAAATTGCACTGTTTTTAAAGAAACTGTAGAGAAGCAACAAAAAGGCAAGCAACTTCATAATCAGATTATATTAATCAGTTAGTTGAGCAGTTTTTGACCAAGAATCGGAAGCCCAAGGAGGACATTTACTGCTTTAATCTGCACTCATTGAAGGCATTTATTACCATATACACTATAGCTTTGTGGTAGGCCATTATTTTCCTTTTTTTTTTTTTTTTTTGGCTCTTCAGAAACTTGAATACTTAAGCTTGTACATGATCTTGTGTTTTGCTATCCTTTTTACTGTAAAATGTAAATATTTTAAGGGATATTTTGATTCTAAATATGATAAAAGAATTTCTCACCTATTTTGTGTGTGTGATTTGAAATTCAGTAGTAAAAGAATTTCTTAAAAGCTTTAATTACCTTCAGACATTGTTCTTTTACTCAGCCAAGAACATACAGACATAGATATCTATGTCAGTCATTAGATGAGGGGAAAAACAATTTCTTCATCTTAGATTATCGGCTATTGAGGTAAATCGTGTAGTTTTGAAGAGACTAGAATTTAGAACTGCCAGTGAGAAAACTGCAGCTATCAACCACTTTATAGGTATGTTTCTGAAAACTTGATACCATCAAAATTTGGTACACTGACTAATCATTGTTAAGAACTTTGTTTATGAGAAATGTGTTGTGAATCTTCTTGTAAAATGTGTAATTATCCCTAATTTTTTTGGGGGGGAGGGGTAACTGCAGTTTCATATGCTAGTTTTGCTTGAAATAGAAAGCACATGGAGGCGATTGATTGTTAATCCAAATCTAAATTTATTTACTTCTTAAACTACATATTGTATTGATTGCTATAATTTAAAGCAGTAGCTACCAAAATGATACACTAGAGACCAAAAAAAACCCATATTTTTATTTATCTATGTTGCAGAAAAATATAAATGGCCTTACAAAATTAAGTTAAATTTCCTAAAAAGCCTAAAGATTAGAGTTAAAAATAGGTTTTGAAATAGAATCAGTTTGCTGTACTCACTGAAGAAAGGAGTGGAGATTACCCAAACATTTTCTCTTAATTTCAACAACTAGCACCTTTTTTGTCATTTTCCTCTGAAGTTTATCATCATAAAAGTTCTTAGAGGACTTGTGTTTAAATAAAATTTGTTTAATTTTGATCTTTTCTTTTGGAAACTAACTTATTAGAAAACAAGTCAGTCTACAAACAAAGCTTAAGGTCAGTCACTATCTGATGCACCATTATAAAGATACAGTTGTAAATTTTTCTCCCCACTCCCTCCCCCCAAAAATGCCAAAATTAGCATTTTGATTTCAAATACATATGTTGTCAGTAAATCTACTTTCACTGATTTTATCTGCTTGGGTTAATCAGTTGGAGAACACCTGAAAGTCAGGTTTTGATTGCCTCTTAGCCAATAGTTTCTTACACATATTTTTGTGATGCTTACTTTAAAATTCTTCATATCTCATTGGATCTTGTTATATCCCATATAGACCTCTAATAGTGATGACTATCTCCTGGGATTACAGGCTACAAAGTATTAGAACCAGGTCTCTTAATTCTTGGTTGACTGAAATATTGTGGCGAGGGAAAGTATGAGCATATTTATTGTTCGAGGTTTTAACTTGGGAGGAAAGAAAGGAAAATGAGAAAAATTTTCAGTGAGTAGTAGATCCAAAGCCATTCTCGGTCTTAAATCTTTCCTCCAGCCAGCCTCGTACAAACTAGTGAGTTACATGAAGTTCCTCTTTGTTTTTCCTGTTTTAAGGAAAACTTGCTCTTTAAAAAATTGATGTTTGTTAAAATTTAGAACCATCTTAATACAGTTTATACATACCTGTTTTAAATAAAACATACCAAGGTGTCTCAGTACCTTTAGTTCACCCCTTTTAATCCTTGCCGTTGTAAGAAAGCCTTCACCAGCCCTCTGTATTGCAAACCTTGTGTCATGTAGAGCAGTTTATATAAGCTTTGGTCTGCTTGAAAAGTGAAGACTTATCTTATTGCTGAGGAAACTGGTTTTTAGGAAAGTTGAAAACTTACCCCAGGTTAAACTGCTTTTGTCAGCTGGAATCCTAGCTCAATTCTGTTTTTTTTCAAAGTCAATATGTGTGGCAGTTGTGCTCTGAGAATTGAGAACAGTAGAGGGAGATAAAAGCTTGATTATTGTATATACCTTTCACAGCCCTCTTTCTCTCCATTCCACCAACCTGTCTGAAACCCTTTTACATAGCAGCCCAGGTCCTCAAAGCAAGCAGGATGAAACAGCCAAAGACCTGTGTACAGATTTGCAAAGTTTGTGTTCATTTCAAATTCGTATTCAGTTTTATTTTCTATTGTTGCTGTGACAAATTATAAATTTAGTGGCTTAAAACCGCACAAACTTACTACCTTACGCTCTGTAGAAGCCTGATACGGATCTCCGTGGGTTGAGATCAGCCTGTCAGAAGGGTGCATTCCTTTTTCTGGAGGCTTCAGGGGAGGATTTTTCCTTGCCTTTTTCAGCTTGTAGAGGCCACACACTTTCCTTGCCTCATGGACCCTTTCTTCATCTTCAAAATCAACAGCACCACGGGTCTGTGAGGGCTAAAAAGAAATAATACCTTTTCTCCCACCTTCAAAGTTCTAGTTGGGCTATTAACAGAAGAACAGGATAAAATCAAATTTTTAATACATGCACATGGAGAATTCACATAAACATGAAAAACATGAAAATTCCAAAGATTGGCAACATAGGTATATAAGACATTTTGGACAGGGAAAAACAGGTGGGGGTGGAGGGGAATGGGATCTTAGACTTCAGAAGTGAGAATGAGCTATTTACGGGTAGTGAGAAAGAGTGAAACACAAATGACAGGCAAATTTTTGCTAGGCAGCTATGAGACATGGGATATCCAGCTAACAGGCCCCTTTCTGAAGCCTTGTTGTTTACCATGCTTAATTAAAATTGGGCTATTCAGGCTAAGACACACGTCCTAAAATTTCCATCCCGAAGCAGGTTTTTCTGCCTGAATCTCGGGCAGGAAAGGAAGGGAGGGTCAGAGGGGTCAAAGGTAGGTTCTGAGTCTTGTTTCTTAATAACCAGCTTGAAATCAGTATCCCAAAAGGCAGCTTCAGGGTGGCAGAACTTCGATTCCCTTCAGTGCTGAATCTCATGCTGCCATCTCTGACCCTGCCTTCTGCCTCCCTCTTCCATATTTAGGGGCCCTTGTGATTACTTGGGCCCACCCAGATAATCCAAAATAATCTCCTTATTTTAAGGGCAACTGATTAGCACCTGGATACCATCTGTGACCTTAATTTCCACTGCCATGTAACCTGACGTATTTACAGGTTCCAGGGTTTAGGATGTGAGCAATCTAGGGTGGGGGCATTCTACGCTACAGCTCTTGACTCGCTAATTGTAGCTTAGCCGTGGGTGAACTAATCTTACGTTTTTGGAGTTAAAAAACACCTAAGGCTATAGTAAATATTCAAAAGTTAAGAAAAATTTCAATAGAAAAGAAAATAGAGTGGAAAGTAACCTTGGATATTAACGTATTTGTATGTGTTGACCTATAAAAGTACTTGTTAATTGGTAAATTTATACTCAGGTGCCCTTAATATTTAATATAGTAGTTTTTTTAAAGGATATGAATCAAGTTTAAATGCATTATAGGAGCTTGCTAATGAACCAGGTCTGATGAAAACAAATAATTTTAACGTTTGAGTATACCAGTTGAACTATTTACCAGCTCCTCAGATACCTCTAAAATGCTGGTCAGCTCACCATTGACTAATGACTCTGAAGGGCAACATACAAAATCATCTCAACTTTTGTCTCCCAAAGCAAATCATGAACAAAAGTGGTTACTTCTTTTAAAAAGGTGCCAAACATCCTAATTCTTCGATTTCGGTTTCATAAAGAATTTCGGTAATTCATGTATGGAGCAAGAGGGTATGTAAATGGATGAGTTGAAAAATACTAGGTCCATAGCTAGAAATGTTTTGAAAACATGAGTCCACTGTTCATCTTAAAGTTGCAGAACAAAGTCATTGGAGGAAATCCCAGCACATGTACAATGAATCCTCGCAACTCCCAATATCTCCAAATACTTTCCCCCCCACCACAGGAACTTATTCTTTAAAAGGAGTCTTTAAACGGTAAATACTGCCATCTCCCAGCTTAGATATTTTGACAGTTTTAAAAATTAAAAAGTTTTCATGTTCACATTCAACACTTTCAGAAACATGACATTCATAGTAAAAGTACCTAAAAGGTCTTTATAAATTGTTATTTTGTGCTGGAAAAGCATATCACATAGGACATTTTCAACACCATTTATCACTAGGATAGCAGAAATGAATGCACGAAATTTGGAGTTTTAAGATTAAAAAAACTTCAAGTCATTTTCACTTATCGGAGAATCTTTAGGTAGCAGTTTTCAGTATTTTGCGCCTATTCTGCAGGGTTCTTGGAATTCAATGGTGGGCAATACCATTAACCTCTAACTCTTGGAGCTCGCAGTGTAGTGTGGAAGACAAATAATCTCATCAGTGCAAATTTGCAGCTGTGAGAAGCCACTTTAAAACAATTCTCAAAGATTTTATTTTCATGACCCTTTACATAAAAATAGAGAACTCTACAGAGCTTTTTTTTTTTTTTTTATGGATTATATCTCATTTAGCATATTAGAAATTTAAATATTTAATTTACTTGACAGTCCCATCATGTTAATATAACTTTTTATGAAAAATAACTCCTAAATCCGTTCAGTAAGAAGAGTGTCCTTGTTTTTATTTTTTTGCACATCTCCAGTGTTTGACTAAGACAGCTGGATTTTTTTATGTCTCTGCATTCGATGTTTTGCAATTTTATCATTTGTTTGAAATATATAAAGAAAATCTGGCTTCACATGCATTTGTTGTTGGGGAAGGAAATACTCTGGATCTCCTGTCAAGATCCTTGGACTACACTTTGGGAAGCACTGTTTTAAAGAAAGGCACACTATGTTATGAGAGAATGTGTGGCCTAATGTGATGGCGTGGTTCAGGCAGTTTCCTTGAAGTTTTTGTAACTTTCCACAGAACAGCTTTCTTGCCTTTATCTGTGAAAGGTGTATCTTTAAAAGTTAGATTTCATTATTAGCTACCAAAAGGAAATTTTTAGAGCAGTTACCCTTATGATCTCTATATCCCCAAAGCTAAATGAAATGGTATAGACCAAAATAATTTAGGTCAAACTTTTCAGGAAATACTGGAGTTGTGGTTTCTGTCAAACAAGAAAAAAACCCTCGAATCAAGGAACAGACATTCTGTAATTCTACTTTACATTTTGCTCGCACTTTTTAATTTTTAATTTTTCGATTACAGATAGCATATGATATATTAGTTTCAGATGTACATTATACAAAT